AAACATTAACATGGCTGAAGAATAGTAAGAAAATGATGATTTTGGGTTCAAATCTTACTTCCGGGTATTCTTGCGAGCCAAGAATCTGCCCGTTTGACCCTGATTTTGCACTGAGGCATCCTGAGAGTCGATTTGCAACCCCTCACGTCGTGGACAATCAGAAAAATTTTAGTACTAGGATTTTCTGTGTAATTTTCTCAGGTACAGTCAAGGTTTGGGTCTTTCTGTCAGAGTCAGTCATTTCTACCAAAAAAAAATGTTTTTCCTATGGGATATATCCTACGCGAAAATTCCCAATTTTGTGCATTCATTTTGGAGTGAAAATAATGTTTTTTCTGTTGATTTTACCAAAAGAGATTGAAGAAACCAAACTCAGTAGGTCTTGTCCTTTCGTCCCATATACAGTTATTCTCCTTCCGAATTACATGTATTCCACGGCAGAGACAGAAGCTAGACTTGAAGGTGTCTGCAGCTTCCAATAGAAATGCCAAATAAACTAGGGTGTGGCCACTCAAGGTATTGCAAAACTTGCCAATGTACATCTTCAGATAACCTGGTATCCAGTCTATCATGGTTGGAGTAGGCTATCTTCAGGCTCTAATAAATTCTACAAGGTCCACACAATAAGAAGGCTAGGGTTGGCAGTTTTTTCTGGAGTTGGTCAGGAAACAGGAAACACAACATTTTTTCCTAGGCCTCAATTATGCCTGAAAAGTCCATACTTTATTTCGGTTGAGGCTTAAATTACTAATTATATTGATCTGTAAAATAAAGTGATGAAGACTCGTTGCATGCAAGTTAGAAATCTAAAAACCACAAGACTTAGCCTGGGTGCCATCCAATTTGTAACGGCAACCACGAAAAAAATCAATTTTCTCTGGGTTGCCGTTACAAATCGGATGGCACCCAGGCTACACAAGACTTACCCTGACAGCACCTAAACCAACTACCAAGGACACCACGTCTGACAACATGTGGAAGGAGTCAGCCACCAGGGCCATGGAGTTGGTGACGTAACCAACGACAATCTCCACCAGGAAGAAACTGAAGGTCAGGGTCAACATGCAGATCAGACGACAGGTCTTTCCCGTGTAACGCCCCATGGTGATGTAGTCCTGTACTCACTGTAGTCTCTGTGATAGGAACAAACACATACATGAAAACACAGTACAGTCAAGCAAAAACTTGAAAGAAAATGGTGGCCAGGCATAGACAGACAGCCACGATTAATGCATGGGTCAATGGGGTAATCTATAGCGACCCCTTAAGTTAAATAAGAAAATGCCCATAATGCTCAGGTGGTCCTTATGCAAACTTCAATCTGGCAGAATGGCCTCAGTAGAATTTGCAGTTCTGCCTGTTCTGCCTCTGATCGGAGTCTCTGCCAGACTAGTGCCAGTAGAATTACTGATTCTTTCAGGTCAGAGTCTCTACCCTAGCATAATGATTAATTATACCCTGCAGGTCCACATTCTTTTTAAATAGCGTTCACTGTTAAGGTGTTTGTAAGCATCCGATTCACAAACAAATGTATACCACCCTCAACACATTCACAGTTCTCATCAGGCTGTTTGAGCGTACTGCCCCCCTACACTATGAGGGCCTGCAAGGGGGGATCCCGACAACGCTCTACGATGAATTCGGAACCTCTCGATTACGCTTTACGATAAATTCCAAGTGGCCACAACGCATTACGTAGAATTAAAACGCCGAATACGCTCTACGCAAAAATATTAGAGCGGTCCATCTACGCTCTGCATAGAATTAAAACGACCGATTACGCTCTACGGAAAAGGGCTTGCGGGCCCCCCACTATGATTTAGCCCCCTACACTGTGTTTCAACCAGCGTAGGGGTGTTTCTTGTGTGCAGAAGCTTCATCAACCTTTCAAAAATGAAAATATAACTTTAGAATGAAGCTATAACAAAGGGAAAACAAAAACTGTCCCTCAATTAGCCAGAAACAGTGTCTCAGGGGGTTGTGTTACAAATTTTTTTCGGGAGAATACCAGACCCCTGCTGTGGTCGTATTTTGGGGACTCAATGCGCTGCAGAAAGTTGCCCTCCTGTACCTGACCCCTACGCTGTGAAAAAATCCTGGTGAGAACCCTGACATTTGGTACGCATGCCATAAATTCTACTGGAAACTACATGGGAAGCGTCGAGCCAACAGATTTATTTTGCCCAGAGTAAACATACAGTGCCTTACTTTGGACACAAACTGTAAAAACATACAATGTTACTATAATATAGTACATAATGGGATTCTGTTGGAATGCCAGAAAGTTTAAGGGCATGTACTACCTGACATGCAGTTGTTATTGTACAATGTACGTTGTCTGGACAACACTTTTAACATGATGCCATACCAACACTAACAACAGAACTTCTGTTGTTAGTGTTGGTATGGCATCATGTTAAAAGTGTTGTCCAGACAACATACATTGTACAATAACAACTGCATGTCAGGTAGTACATGCCCTTAAACTTACAGAACCATCCAAGCGATCAGGCCTCTTCCCTACAGCAACAGAGGCCTTCAAGGTCAGGGGCTACAGATCTCAAACAATAGTTATACAAATGCAGACAATAGTCTGGCTTTGGTTTCACCAGCACCAACTATAGCTATTGTCCCTCCGCCACATTGTGATCACATACAATACATACCATGATCTCACGCATTTAATGTCTTCAGAACCAAAACAGTAAAACACTTAATAATACCTGCATTAAAAATGGAGGTATTGTTTTTGACGTGTCTGTGTGTGTCTCTGTGTGTGTCCGTCTGTGTGTGTGTTTGTGTAGTAGGTTTAATAAAAACGGTTTTTGAAAAACCGGTTGAAAAAGCTAAATGAATAAAATAGAAGTCTGGTCTGAACGGGGTGTATGTGTTCTCGCCTATGCCTATATATGTGTCGTTGCCTTACGTGACAGTAAGAGAAAGGAATGGGACGAGGACAGAGTACTACTAAGGAATGGGTGTCCAGATTGTGAGATATCAAGACCAGAAGTTCCACTGCAGTACCAAGGGAAGCCACTAGGGGGCCAAAAATCTCATCAAGTATGAAACCAATCCATCCAGCCCTTCTTGAGTTATCTTGTTGAAAAAAGTTAGTTCCCTAGGAAATGCATTCATGGAATTCTTAGAATATTTTCAATGAATTCAATTGCAATATGAATTCATGTATTAGTTTACTTAGTCACAGACTGGTGACTTTTGGCTCTCAACCTATCAGAAGCTACAAAATTGCCAAATGAATTGTAAATGGATTGTTCACTGATACAAATTCCCAGGACAGGAAAAATTCATGTTCAAGTGCCTCAAATAGTTCAGATTCTCTACACTACTACTACCATGGAGTTAAACTTAAAACTCTTTTCTAGCTCCATGCTACATTTGCAGTTTGTACATTGAAGACCAGGACACATTCAGTGATCCTTTCAAAGGCATCTGAATAGAACAAAAGCTGAGGAGCTGACAACAAGTACTTGTGGCGTGTGCTTAAGAGGTGCAGTGTGCAGAAAGTCTGGTGAAAGGAGTGCAAGCTGTGACGAAGCAAAAAAATCCACCACAACCTCCATTTTGTTTGTTCTTTTCTGCCACTCTTTCAGTCTTTGCTACATATGTGGAAAGATACGTCGGTGACATCCACTAAGAAGTAAGATGCGATTGGATATGATTTTGGAAACGGTCAGACGTTTCAGGTAGCATCCACTACCTTACACCAGTGCACACACGTTTGATGCTTGATGATGTTTGATGAAATCATGGAGTTAAAAGACTCTCCTTTCTAGCTCCATGATGAAATATAATCTACATTACTAAATATAATTTACAGTGCCAGCTGATTACAAAATTAGTGCTGATACATTTCCTTATATGCCTATAATTCAGTATAAAGAAGTCTTGCTTCTTGCCAAAAAACTGTTTTATTTGGATAACGATATTGATTCTTGTCAAGCAGAAATTAGATAATGTTTAACCTTGGAGCTCTGTGGTTTAACTCACACCAACAGAGGAAAATTGCACCATCTTTAGAAATCAGAGTAATTTGAAGTTTATAGCAGTAGTTTCCTTAAAATCACAGTCACAAATATTCCAGTATCTATACAGTTTTATGGTCAGGCATAAATTTACTAGTATTTAAAAATCATTGTTCTCCATAAACGGCATATAACGTTATCACACACATATAGAGTACATGTAGGTCCTTTGCGGCAAATCGGCGGTTTCCTTAGACTCTTGGACTTCATCATCTTCAGTACTGCTTAGCCTTCTAAAAAGCCTTCTTAGACTTTAACAGCGTTACAGCTTATTTTTAATCATTCTCCTCCAATTCCTGTATGGGATAGGATGGTCGAGATACAGTTTCGGCGAAAATCCGTTTCTGAGGTATCAAGGAGACAAACACCGGCTACCGGTACCCCCCTCCCCTCACCAACACCCAAAACAAAATTATATAACATTTGTACTTACTGAAAAGTAGCGAAAATCTCCTTCGTTGCGAAGAAAAGATCTGAATTTTGCTGTTTTTGTGAGAGTGTTCCTGAAACGGTCTGGAATTTTCCTCCGTGAGCGATGAAAAGGACGATTTGCACTCGCCCCTTTTCTGAGTGATTGTGCAAAAGGCTTTGCACACGAACTCTTCCAGGGTGTTACAAAGTCGCAGCGAACGTCCTAAACTCTCGGCGTTTCCTCCACAGAAACTCCATTTTACGGCGAGATGGACACACAAGACGGCATGAGAACAAAGTTGAAAGATCCGTGTCGGAGTGAACCAAGCTAAATGTAGTTTTAGAGCAGTTCGGGAGACACAAGACAGCAGAAGACACCGGGTTCCTGGATCGCCATTCTCTCTCAGTGACATCGGAGTAGTCCATTGTTAGGGACGGGGGATTTTTGCTGACTTGATCTAGCATTTACGCAAAAGACCTACATTCATTTACAGTAAAACAAAAGCAAATCTGAATAATTTTATACCTCAATATTTCAAAGATATGAAAGTTTTCTTTTTTTTCAATTTTTTGAAGCCTTCAATATCTAAATTAAATTTGAAAGACCCGATTCCCCCCTTGTGGAAATGGAATATAATCGATTGCATTGGTTCCATTTTTCCCAGCATACATTTCGGGGCAATTTCATTTGGAGAGTGCGCGTGGGTTTGTCGTGGTGGGAGTTTTTGTAAAAATTTGCCTACACTGTCCACACAGCAGACGCGTCGGGTATGAAAAATAACTCCTAACACTTAACAGATCGTTTAAAAACTATTTTTTTTCGAGAAGTAATACGACAGTGACTGTCAGTCAGTTGCACTTTTCTTGAAACATTGGGGAGGGGGGCTAACGTTATGTGTATGCATGCCTGCATGAAAACGAGAATAATAGTTAAATACAGTATACTAGTATATCAGTGAGCTATTGCTGCTTTTGTATGTAAATGATAAATGCCGAAATTCCATAAGGCATGAATCTAGGCAGAAACTGCCAGCATATTTGTCACTAATTGACTAAAACTTTTTTATTCAGAATGAACGGGGGGTGCCCTTAATTATTCCGACCCACCCCTAATTATTCCGGACCAGTTCGAAAAAAATTATCATTGTTGCGGCATTATGTATGGGTGCATGTGCCTATAGATGCCCCACAGGAATGGACAAAGTTTCTGTGTCGATAACGGTAAGCTCTTATAGTTTGTTCCAGTTCGTACGCTCCGACAACAGACAAGTGAAAAATCTGCATGAATCCGACGCTTCTTTGGGGGTTGACGAGCATGTTAAAAATGCAGCTTTGATTTTGAAACAGCCGCTTTGGAGCAAGTCGCGTAATGGTAAAAAGAGAACTTGTTCGGGACAGAAGAACAGTTGTAGATTTTTTATTTTAGTAACAATTTGTGTATTTTAGATACCAAACTCTCCCACAGATCACCCTGTATTTCGGCTAGGTCGGAATTAGGGCCCCCTTTTGCGATAGAACGTTCCACCGGCAAAATGACCAAAAACCTCCCATGAGTTTCGCGAACCATTACAGTTGGGTGCAAGTCGCTCCCCTGTAGCTATGCAGCTTTAATAGTTGTTATCTTTATCTATCAATAGTAAAGCTCGTGTTGCGCGGGTTTTTGGTCAGACAAACTATTATTGGTATGTGTATTTGCATGGAACATGGGTCAGGACCCCTCCCATTACCTGTATTTGATTTCCTCATTTTTCAAGTTTGACTATAAATCAGGTATGTCAGCGTGGCCATGTACATAGTTCACTTGCACAAGTTTGTTTTTGTTCGTCTACACTCGTTCTTTTTCTGTTGATTTTTATGAGCACCATTCACCCCACCGGCTGCACATGTCGTGTACCTGGACCAGGACATGATGCCCCATGAGGGCCTTGGTCAGTATTCTATAGATAGATACTAGTAGTAGTAGATAGACTTGATTTACTATGTACATGAAAAAAGATGTTTTCACACAGTTTCAGGCATTACACAAGTCCAAGATGATCATTCCAATCCGGTGCTTCACGTGTGGGAAGGTGATAGGGAACAAGTGGGAGTGGTACCTGGGACTTCTACAGGCTGACTACACAGAAGGGTGAGGCAGATGTTGAGATCAAAGATTTTTTGGGTTTTTGTATTTGGACAGAGTAGGTTGACAACACATGGTGGGGTAAGACTGAATGATAGGAGGTAATAGTGGTGCATACCGGTTCACTGGACTTGGATCCGGACTTGTAAGAATGTTTAGGTTCAAGTCCAAAAAAAACTAAAAGTCAAGAACCGAGTCCAGACTTTTTACCATAAAAGACCATTTCACATACCCCTTTTCTTTCCAAACCACCTAAAACCTTCCGTAGATTGCAAAATCTTCGCTGCAAAATGAAGAAAATATTGCCATCAGGCATCGTCAAGTACGGGCCTCCATGTTATGTGGCCAAAATTTCACCCAGACAACATTGCAGGGTTGCCAACATGCAATTTTATATATGCCATGGGTTTAGGTCCGGACTTACAAGTCCAGAACTGAACCTAGACCTCTGGACTTCAATCCGGACCTGAACTGATGTGGGTTTAGGTATGCATCACTAGGAGGTAACATGTCTCACTCAGAATCTGGCTGGAAGCCACGCAACATGGGATAATTCAGGAAGACAAGGATTGCATACTTCTTGGAAGTCTGAAATCTTGAATGTCTTGTTCACTGCAGTGATGCCCTGGATGCTCTGGGACTGAAGAGATACTGCTGTAGGAGGATGTTGCTTTCACATGTGGACCTCATCGAGAAATTACTCAACTACGCACCACTGGAGAAGGCATAAGGAGTGCTGCCCATGTTGCGATAAACATAAATAGATCATGTACATGTAGGTTCCAACTGAAATGTACAGTATAGAGTGATATATAGTCGTTATAAGGCAGCTCAACATAGAGGCTATCGATAGATTTGTTGTTGTCTGTTGAAGTTCTTTGGAAGAAGAGGACACAAGAAGCCCAGATGTTTCCACCAGTCTTTGTCAGGAAATTTGCATCCATGTATTTTGCTTTTCGCCATGTGCTTGTAGTACTAAGTTGTACAAACATCATTTAGTCGTTACGTCTATCTTTATGAAGTTCACTCGCATTTTTATGGTGAAAATTTATTGTTACAGACCATAACTGGACTTTGCACCACAGGAATGATGCCAACTTTTTCTCTGTTGAATATTTCGAGTATAGATTTGCTACTTTAATGTAGATTATGTGGATCCCATGGTAATAGTTACAGGTACAGGTAGTGCCTAGAAGGCTTTAGTCATACTTTGTAAATACAATATTATAGTCAGAGTCTTCATCATTCCATGCTATGAATAGGTAATAAGTGTGATTGCATAAGCCACGGCCACCTCAGCTTCTTATTTCAGTTATGATTCTTTAACATAAACAAGTACATGTATCACCAGATGAATGATGCAAAATGTTTCATCTCTAGAATTCAGCATATACGTAAACATACATGGTACAGCATTGGTAGGGGTACAATGAGATTGCTGAATTGGTCCAGGTGATGTTGGTGACCCCAAAATCTGACCCTTTACAAGGAAAAGACTTGAGTGACCATCTTTGCATGAGACAGAGCCTTTTTGAGACATGCCCCTAGCTCACTTATAAGATTTTGCAACATGACTATAAAGATACATACATGTAGTAGTGACAAGTTAAATTTGATTTAACTACTGCCTTTTTTTATTCGATAAGGCCATGTTGATTTGATTATATGGATGACATCCTCTGGGAACCCCAAAACTGATGCGCGCGTGCGAATAAAAAAAAAGTTGCTTTCACTATGAAATCTACGTGATCATGAAGGTTGAACAAATGGCACAGAATATGTTATGGCGAATAATCTACTCTTCGAATTCATTTCTTTTCATTTTTGTCTTTTTTTCCTTTGATTTTGGCATTCTACGACATTGGTATCGTTTCTAAATGTTTTCCTTGCAACTTATGGTATATTTTTGCTCATTTAGCAACTGTTTTGCACGATTTACAGTATGGTTAAAAACTTTTTTTTTTCTCTTGGAAACGGCCGAAAATTCATGCGCGCGCGGATGACATCCATATAATCAAATCAACATGGCCTAATGTACATAAATATTATATCATCAAAATGGACTGAAAACATCTTAGAAAAATTATACAGAGACAGAACAAAAAGAAAAAAAGCCTCCATTTAGCCTTACAGATACAGTATCAATGGCACAAATGTAGCAAAAACCAGTAAGAAAACTTTTGACAAGTGAAAGTATCAATCAATACAGTATTCATAATTATGATAAACACAGTGTTCCCCTCTTAACCCCGATGCTCCTGCAGTTTCCCCCTCCGAGATGGAACAAGAAGAAGTTGTAGACATCATCCCACCATGAAATATTTTTTTCTAAGTTTTGTTATTTGTTTTGGTTTATTTGGTGTTATGATATGTTATTAGGGATATCATTTGTTTGTTTTTATCACCCATCCTCTCCCAGCAATTAGCACTACTATGACTTAAGGTTTTAATCAAAATGAGCTGATTATGCAAACTACGTCTTTGCATCTTTGCATAAGTCATCTGTGATCCACAGACAGTACCTGGGTCCCGTTACCAGTTAAAAGAAGATTTATTACTAATGCCTGACACTATGAATCACTGGCCTGGGGCTAAAAATAGTTCACAGGCCACAAAGCACAGAACTGGTCAGAAGATAATAAGAATCAGTTGACCCCACAGACTATACCACCCTATTATAAGAAGGGGTGAAAATCTAAAACTTTTTTTTAAAACACATGCTACATTTCCACAGCAAACAGCTAATGTACGCTAAAACGCAACTACCCACGTACAAAAGATAGTTGCAATCTATCCAGCGGTTCTTGAGATCATTACACCAAAAGCAACCGAAAATGAAACGATTGTGCAGGTCCAAAGCAAGCAGCTACAGGCTGGGCGCAAATGTCCACCGGGCGGCCAGCTGGACGGGGAATGCCGGGAGCACCGAAGATTGCTCGTCCCAACCACGATAGACCGGACACCGGGCTAGCTGCCGACCGGATGCGCAGACAAAATGCCCCAGAGGCGTCGCCAAAAAGGTAGCCTGTGGGTGTTGACGGCGGATGGCGGTTGGCTGACCGTACATCCTGGAGGACGTTGGCCCAAATTTATGGCCGTGGCCCCCTGCTGAGATGCGCTGACCTGTGCACCGCCAACACCGGTATGTTACTGTACATGTAGGTCCCGAAATTTGGAAGGAAGGGAAGGAGAAGCTGGTATGTTTACGCCATGGACGGTGTATATACGGGGTACAGATACAGATAGAGTGGGCCAATAGGGTGGTGGTATGTGTACTAGTATAGTATGTATATTATACTGTAAGTCCCCCCCCCTCGTAGTATAGTATAGTCTTTTACGTTTATAGGGCTAAATTATGTAAAAGACTGCAAGCAAGAGAAGCTCTAGATCTGCAACAGTCGCCGCGGCTAAGTATAGTAACATATAGTCATGGAGGTACTCCTTGGTATAGTGCTGCAAGCAAAACTGCAACAGTCGCCACAGCCACGGCTATCCTCAGACCGGACTAGTCTGGGTGTCGTTTTGTGTAACAATTTGTTCAAACATGTGGTTAGAACTCCATGGTTCAAGCAATGGCTCAAAGCAGTCTCTAATAGGTCGTAAAATTAATGCATCTTTAGTTATACTTCACGTTATATACAGATAGCCGTGGCGACTCAGGAGGCCTTTTGTATGTAACAAAGTATAAACATGGAGGTAGATATAAACGTTAAACGTTACTGGCTTCCCTTAAGCATACGAAAGAAAAGAAAAGGCTATTGAGTCGCCACGGCTTCAGTAACTGACTATAAGACTAGTTCGTCTTCAACTCTTAGTGACATGTACAGTTTATGACACAACAAACAGACTACAACAGGATCCTAAAATGTTGGACTGGGTGGATTGGATTATGCTAGCTGTTGTCGTAGGTCACATTTGCAATAGTTTCTAATCTGATAATGCATGATGCTTTTTGACATTTGATAACAACCAACCACAGTGTGTTTTGGTAGCAGTTACATGATTCTTTCCCAAACCAGCAGGAATGTCAACAAAAAGTCAGCTTACTCAAGGTTATATAATATAACGTTACAACCTTACACACTGTTTGAGTAGTTAGTTGAAAATTAACAGGTTATTTGGTTTGTAAACACACACCATTGGCATTAATGGTTGAGGTCAAAGGTACATCTGGTGTCAGAGGTAACTTGCTACAAGGCAGAAGGTATGATGTTTTCCTTTTGATAAGGTATTACTGTAACATTTAATGATGTTCAACATAATGTTTGGGATAACATTCTTAATAACTGACATTTGTTTTCTTATTGTTTGTAACTATTATGACATCTAACCATATGTATGTGACAAGACTTTTGATAATTTCTACTTGGGACTGCGATAGCTCAGTGTTGTTAGTTAACAAATTTTACATTAACGTTATATAACTTAAAGTTATACTAGACTAGAAACACTTTACATTTGGAACCGCAACAGTCCCTATGATGTAACAATGCCTAGTAGGTATGTCACAATGGACCTATACCATTATTAAGTCACAGTTTGTTTACCTGTTCTAAAGAACATTCTAGAACGGTCAGTTAAAGAAGAAAGATCATTTCAAAGTTTTCAAAGAAAGGTATGTCTGATTTTTGCTGCGTCTAGTTGTGTTGACACAGCATTACATGCCGCATGGGTGATTTAGTTGTGACATTAGACGAAAGTAGTACTGTATTAAAAGCCTTATATTAGGCTAACGCTACACAAACACACACCGCGCTACGCACCCCTGTACAATATAAACGTCGATTGACCGGCATTCATTGCGGTACACAAACTGTGACGTAATAATGGTATAGGTCCATTGCACTACGTTCTGAAATGCATTGTTAACAGTAAAAACTAGCGTATGTGCACTGTGAATCATTAGTACAGTAAACTATGTAACACCTTTAGTGCACTATGCACCAAGTAACATCTAGCATCAGTGCACAGTAAACCAGTCAGAATTGCCCTGATGAAGATGACAGTCGGTCATCGAAACGTCGGCTCAGTAAAAATAAATGGTTGTGATAAAAGAACTTTGCTATTCATTTGTTTACCAACCTGATGAAATTATTTACAAACAATCAACAATGTTGACATTTGCAACATTTGTCGTACAACGATGGACAACCAAGACCATAAGATTTAACTTTTTAAGATGCCATGTTCAACCAAAAAGTAGGCGGTGAGAGCTTAAACAGAAGGTGTGTAAAGATAATTTTGTAAAAAAAAGTAACTTTAACCTTAAGGCTTGCAGTCTAATAGTTCATTATGAAATATTAACATTATTTCTGAGTTTTCACTTCCCCTTTAAATTTTCATGAGCTGTAATTAATGTTTAGGTCAATAGTCCATACCCATCCTGAGAGCTGTGTGAGTTTATATACTGTATTATATATTTATATACAGTTATACAGTTGTTACCTTCGCCAAGAAGGTTATGTTTTCAGAGGCCTTCGTGTGTGTGTGTGTGTGTGTGTGTGTGTGTGTGTGTGTGTGTGTGTGTGTGTGTGTGTGTGTGTGTGTCTGTAAACATGATAACTTGAGAAGGCCTTGATGGATTGTCTTGATAGTTTGGTTGGGGGTAGGTCTTGATGAGACCTCAAAATGATTAGATTTTGGGCCCCCTGGTGGCTTGTTATGGTACTGCAGCTGAACTTCCGGTTTTGATATCTCATGATCTAGTTTTATTCATGTTACAGGGCACACCACCAGCCTTACATGACTACCATACCTGTGGTGCTTGACTAGAAACAATGGGGCGCTACAGTGGGAAAACCTGCCGTCTTATGACGCTGATTGTCCTTACTGGACTCTTCTTTGTCGTGGAGATAACGGTGGGTTACGTCACCAACTCCATGGCGCTAGTGGCGGACTCCTTCCACTGCCTGTCTGACATGGTTTCCCTGATTGTAGGCCTATCTGCCATGAGGGTAAGTTTCTACAAAGTTCCCATGTGCATAATGTTTTATGATGCGTAATTTTAAAGATTTGTTAAGAATTCAATCATGTCCTGTATCTTTGTTACCGATATATTTTATCTGAGCCATACCTAGTGTTTTAGCCGGTCTTCATCTTTCCATCACTTGACGAAATTTTGCTGCTCATGATGGACAGAAATTTTGCCCAATCCATCAACAGAGGGCCTGCATGCCCTTTTCTGTTATGGGCTAATTTTGATTGACCGTTAATCGTCACCAGCCTGCTCTAATTCACAATGTTAAGCATTATCAGTATATTCAGCGCGATGCATTATTGTTCGTTTTAATTCTACGTAGCGCAGTAGTACGTAGTATGCAGAGCTTCATTCACAGAGGCCTAACCAAAATCAACCGTGACGCCAACCAAGGAATTGACTTGTTTTGTCGCAGAGCTCTGCAGCTCTGCCACTGAGGGCTGTACGAGCAACCTCCATGGAGGAGCTCTGCAGAGCTGAGACCTCCATGAAGGTTGCTCATACAGCCCCTTCTCTTGATTTTTCCAGTTCTCCAAGAAGCGAGTTGTTCACCTGAACACGTTTGGACTGGGCGCGTGCAGAGGTTCTGGGAGGACTGGTGAACAGTATCTTCCT